AAATTTCAGGTCCAATTCTTCTGTTCGGTCAGCAGGTCTTGCTTATAAATCGCCTCAGTGCATTGTGTGCGGCGAGCGTCCGAAGACGGTATGTTGATATTCAAAACCGGCTCTATAGTCGTGGTTTACCTATTTTATTCATTTAGACTCCACCAGTGCCTAACCTGGAATTGGCGATCTTTCTACGCGCTCTGAATGCTGAAAAAATGACCGAGCATGAAAATCCGGCTTATAGAGAGATCATGGATGATGATAGGTAAAAGAGCATTTTTTCATTGCTTGTTGTTTGCGTTTATAGTACAAGAGTGGCTTGAAGTAACTCAAGTTCCTGATTTCTGCGTTTGCTTCTGCTTTTGGCGTTTTTCTTTGAACCACTGTTGTATCCTATTCCGAAAGGTCACGTGGAACGAAATAGGAGAAATAAGCTGTTGGTACGGACAGTTTATACAGTTATTTTGGTAATTGTATTCGTTTGTTTACTATTTTCTTTATAGTAATGTTGACTGGAACCATATGCTACACCTGTGGTATGGTCGATGTTGAGAATAAATTTTTAATGTTTTATTCGAGATTTCACGATAATTCTCTTCTTACTGCTTTGTTTCAGTTTGTCGGATGATGATTTCAACTGCAAGCGCATTAGGGAATGCAGAATTGGGGTGATGGGTGGATCAGGTGTGGGGAAAACTAGCCTGGTAGGTTGTCTTTGAGTTATGACTGCAATAAGTGCAGAGTAATCAAATCCGGTTTTCCACGAACCTATCAAGTGCACATATCGTTGATTTACTAAGGACTTTTTTTGCAGACTCGTGTGCAATATGGGAATGATATCCTGTTTAGTGATCTTCTAGGAAAACGTACAGAAGCCAGTCTCAGTAACACATTTATGATCGATATTGTGGATTCTAATGTACGTTTTCTCTATCTTTTCCCCATTATGAATAAAAAAGAATGCAGCTTCTTTCAGAACAGTGAAAGTTGCATTCAAACTTCTCAAGGGTTCGTCATAATGTATTCGATTACGGATCGTGAATCGTTTTATGAGGCTGCCGACATCTTCTCTGCTATTGAACGAGCCAGAGGAGGGAAGGTATGTTCTCAACTTCAAATAAGTTCCGCTTCTACACTTTGAAATAGACCTTACGGATCTTTTGGATAGGTTGAAGATCGTTCTTCTCCGACTCCTACTAGCTTAGCTAACTGATTAAAATGTTTTTT